GAGAATAATCAAAACATTGCTGGAGGTAGAAATGTTGATGTCAGTAGTTAGGTTGTAGGATTAGGGCTAATTTTGAAGAGGTTAGGGTCTCCTAATCTTCTTTGATGACTGATTCTCTAATAGGAAGAGAGTCCTGCATGTATGCAACATGTTGAAGGGCTGGAGTTGAGTAGCCCGGTGGTTCCTCCGACGATCAAGTTATTTAAGTGTGCAAAGAGTGCATACCTTTGGGTAATAAACGATATGCCTATTTATACCGAGTTGGCGAGGAAATTTATGTAATCTTGGTCGAGTCCATGCAGCCGGCTTAGTTAGCTAATACCTTTTATATGCATTGGAATTTGTGTGGAGTCACCCTTGTAATTAATGCAACAGCGATAGGGGGTTCCATGTACTGATGTGGTCCGACGAGTCGTTAAGACTTCGACGGTGATGCAAAGATGACTCCGACCGTGCATTTAATGTGATAGTGCCTGGTTGCTGTTATTAGGTTCTAGAAGGAGCATCTTTCATCTCGGCTCTTCGAGAGAGGTCGAGTGAGGACGCCTTTCGACTCGGCTCTTCGAGAGAGGCCGATTGAGGACGCCTTTCGACTCGGCCGTTCGAGAGAGAGTCCGTGTGAGTTGGTGTATAGTCAATTGAGACAAGTGTCACTTTTTGGAGTGGGATTAACACTTAGTCATTTTTATAGTATAACAATAAATAATAACAAATTGGTAAGAGAGATGTATTTACCGATCTAATAATTTAGCCAAAAATACCTACTAGTTTAATGCAATTAAGTCAGTAGTACAATGCATAGTAATATTTTATAATCTACCTAGAGCAAACAAAACTCAGTGCATCACACTACGAGAGGCTTAAAACTCGGTGCTAGTAACCAGAGTTTCGAGCTTTAAATTGAAGCCAAACAAAGCAATATTTGTCCTTTTCCTTTTACATTTTCAAATCTTTATAAATTATTACAAGAGAACATATATCTGTGTTATTGTGCAATTTGGCGAGTCAGCCACCGCATTTGCAATAGAGGTTTCGTACTAAATATTCTTAATTTGTCAAAAAACGATTAAAACAAGTTAATAGAGTTAGGGTGTATAAATTAGAAATGTGAAGATTGAGAGTTTGTTATAAAATTAATAAAAGTTTAGGATCTAATATGATAAAAACTGAAAGTTTTGCTGAAGTTTTGCTATCTATGAGCTCAGCACGTGAAGAAAAGGAAGCAAAAGTAGATCGGTTTGTATTAAATCCTGTAAAATGAAACAAAATATGCGTCCTCTAATGCTGCCACTTCAATTGTTTTATCCAAATCTACAAGACAAAGAGGTAGTTAGGAGATAGTTATTGTTTAAGAGTTTTGTTTTTTGTTTAATACATTTTTCTGAATAATTAACGATACAGTGATTTGATTATACCAGAAAAGCGGTGAATTATAGAAAGAGTGCTGCTATGGGGACCCAAAATATGGGACCAAAGGAGGGGACAGGTGATGTGTCCCCTCCCTATTGCATAATGAGTTGGCCATGCCGACTCATTATGCAATAGGAAGGGGACACATCACCTGTCCCCTCCCTTGGTCCCATATTTTGGGTCATTAAATCATTTTCCTTATAGAAAATAAAAAGCTCAACTGCACCGAATTTGTAGCCATAATAATATTAAAAAGGTTGCTTACTAGGGGTGCCAAACCGTATCCGTATCCGAGGAAATATCCGTAACCGTATCCGTTAGGATACGAATATGGTTACTCAAATCTATAACCGATAGGATATGGTTACAGATATGGTTTTGTAGTGAAATATCCGTATCCGTATCCGAAAATATCCGAATACATATTGGTCATACTCTTACGATAGTTTTGATTCTTAGATTATGAATTTGTGGTTAATTTTGATGATCAAGATGTCTAATCTTAGCTTTTCAATCATAATGAATATATTAACGAACTATTTTTGTATCACATGACTATATTTTTCTGAATACTATCTAGTTTTTTCATATACTTTTTGTATCTACATGCATATCCGTTTATATATCCGCATCTATATCCGTAACCGTATCCGATTTTGGCGGATATGGATATGAATTTTTCTTACCGACGTATATCCGTATCCGTATCCGTATCCGAGATGGGTAAACGGATATGGATATGATAAGTGCTATATCCGAGCCGTATCCGCTTCGTTAACACCCCTATTGCTTACCCAGCTTTGTCTCACGTCCCAAGGTGGAATCTAAAGTTAATGCAATCTTCTCCCAAGTATCTTCCTATTGAGTATATTATCTTCCTATTGAGTATATTTTCATTGAGAAATTATCTATGTTCCATAATATCAAACACGCGTATAAAGAATATTAATTTTTGAATTTGTGCATAAATTTTGAAATATAATAATTTAAATATTGATATTTATTTGGTTCATATAATGCTATAGACATGAGTGTACTTGGTATTTTTCCCTTTCAATTACCAGGATTATAGTTTACACAAACAGACTCTTTATATATATGGATTCTGTTTTCCATTTTTTGTCTAACAATATGAAAATTACTTTCTTAATCATAAGTCATGAATCATGATAGTATGGCAATAAATGGTTGTAATGTTGGTTATACGAAGTAAAACTAAAATAAACTTAACTGAATAAGAAATCTTGTTCTTTTAATTATATGGATGTGTTTAATATATTTGAATCCAATAAATAATTTGAAAGAATTAACATCAAAACAGTGTTTGCTTTTTTTTCGAGAGGAGTACACGGATCTTTTTGCCATGTTTGGTTTTGTTGATAATTCTACTAATAAATATTAATATTTTGTTTAATCACTATAATTTATATTCATTTAATTTTATTTTGAATTCTTCTTTTTCTAATGCTTAATTTCTAATACTATTTTAATAATTTTGCCACGAGCACACCAGTCATATCTATCGACTCTATATATGATTTATTCTTTACTGAAACCGCCAAATATTTGTACTTATTTTATGCCTAACAAGGGTTTTTTGCTTCAAAGATTCACAATTTTCAATAATTTTAATCTTTTGATATTTTATTCTATGTTTTGGCGATTTGATTTATGAAAGTGTGTAAATTGTGCATTGTTAGTCTGACTTGGTCTTGTGTGACCAAATCAACGCTTCTCAAGTGGAGAGAAACGTGGGATATGGGGTTTGTTGAGAGAAAATCTCTCAGAGGCAGTTTGAGGGGGTGGAGATGATGAGATTTATGGCCTATATAAAGGAGTGTAATCTACTTATAGAAACACAACGAAAAAGAAAAATCAAGCCCTCTTACCCATTACCAGAGCCCCCCTCAACGAAATCTATTCTTTTCTCTTCTTCTCTGTGATCAAACACTGGTTGTTGCATATATATTGCTTCCTTCAACTCTCCGTTAAGGAATGCAGTTTTAACATCCATTTGGAATAACTCCAAATTAAGATATGCAACAATAGCCAAAATAATTCTAATGGATGCAAATTTAGCTACAGGAGAATACGTCTCCTGAAAATCTATTCCTGCCTTCTGGTTATAACCTTTGGCAACTAATCGTGCTTTGAATTTATCAATAGATCCATCAACACGATATTTCTTTTTGAGCACCCATTTGCATCCTATGGCTTTCCTATTTTTTGGTAGATCACATAACTCCCATACCTTATTCTTTTCTATGGAATCAAGTTCTTCTCTCATAGATTCTAGCCATAAAGCTGATTCATTTTCATAATGCGATAAATTATAGCTCTGTGTGCTGAAATCTCATTGTCTCGATCATCACCTTTTCTAAATGCATAAGTAGAAACCTCCATTTTATTTATTGGAAGCAAAAATAATTTCCTTTTGAGCCCTTTTAGCAATCTTCTTCAAGATTCCTTAATAATATATTTTCTTAGGGGCTGTTTGGTTCGTTTCCTTGATATAGAGAAATGTAATTCCATGTAAAGAAACACAAGTTTTGAGCTTTCCAAACTTTTCCAAGAAATAGATTGTTTTGCTTTGGTTCACACATAAAAAATGGTGCGAAACCAATGTATTTATTTTTCTTGTGTTTGGTTCGCATAGAAAAAATGGAAAACTTTTGTAAACAAAGCAGAGAAGGAAAAAAATCTGACGTGGCAGAGTTTTCATCAATTTCACTTGGTTGGGGAAGGAAATCGGAGAGGGAAAAAAAATCTTAGTTGGCGGCGATTTCAGCAGAGTTTTCCCTCTTCCATTCGAGCGAACCAAAGCGACACAAAGAAATGGACGGAAACAAAAAAGCTGACGTGAATGGCTAAAAATCTGACGTGGAGGGGTTTTTTGAGTTTTCCACCCTTTATAATAGCTAACCAAACAGCGGAGAGCAACAAGCATCAAGGGTGCACTATTATAAATTAATTAGAAAAATCAAGTAGTAGAAAATAAATAATAATCCCACTCCATCTGTTCGAGAGTAAAAAAAAATGTTAAAGTACATGCCACAATAATTATTCTTGTTAAAGAGTAAATGGTAGATTATATTAAACCCCCAAAAACTTTCAACATTTTGCAATAGACATTCATTAACTTTCAAATCATGCTAAATCAAGTAATTTTTATATTTTAAAGAATCCAGATAACCCTATAAGTTAGAACCACAAAACAATATAAAAGAACATTTGCAAACTATTGCGAATGTAGTAGGCTTTATGCAAAAGATATTGGAATTTTTTTGCAAAAGTTATCAAGAGTTTAGTGCGATTTTGAAAGTTTTGGGAGTTACTACAAAACTCTAAAAGTTCTGAATATGGATCATCAATTGGATCAAGATTGTAAGCAGAAATTCATAATTATCTTCTTTTTAAAAAATACCATAAAATCTGATTAAATTTTAAAATGATGTAAGTTGTAACATTCAAATAAATAATTTAATCGAATTTCTTTACTAAATTCCTTAAAAAATAATAATTATCATATAAATTCTTAAAATTTCCAAGTATACACCTAGAAAAACAAAAGGAAAAGACCGCTGCTTTTTCCAACCAGTGACCTCTCTCCTCTCTACTATTTTTTGCTCTCCACTATTCTCTTTTGATTTGATTCTCCTCTAATAATTAACTTAACTCAAATCTCTCTCTCTCTCTCTCTCTCTCTCTCTGTTGATGGTGACGGAGATGAGCTCATATTGGGAGCCATGGCAATCTCTGAACAAGAAGAGCAATCACATCTTGGTGAAGCTCTTCATCTCTGTTCTCTTTGTGGGTCTCTTGTTTCGCCTCTTCTTCGCTCGTTCTTCCCCTTACCTGGAATTTTCAGAGCCCCCAACCGTCGCCACAATCTTCGATTCTCACAAAGGTACTTCAAAAGATTCGATTTTGCAAACTTGGGTTTTTGTCAGAAGATTGCAGTTAGTTGTTGGAGATTGGACAAATGGCGAATTTGGGTGATTTTTTTGGTGTTGGGGCTTGGCTGGAACTGTAAGATTTTTGGAAATTTATTCCTAAGGATTAGCTAGACTTTAGATTTACATTAAAAGTAGTTTTCAGATTGGAAATGGGTATTTTTATTTGGGAAGGAGCAAGAGGAAATTGCAATGTGTTTGATGAATCAGTTTAATTTGAAAAAAAAATAATTTCTTTTGGTGTAAATTATTTTGAGGCTTAAGATTTTGTTACTGGAAATTAGCGTCTCTGTGAAAAGTGTGTTATTTTATTTTTTTTGGTACAATATTTTCTAGCCACATTGCAATATCTTAAGGTTATACAAATTTTATTGGAAACATAAACTTTAAATTTTACCGGAAGATCTGAGAAAATGATGTAAAACCAATGAGTTCTTTTTTTCCAGTGAATATGTAGGTGATGCATTACATTCAATGTGTAATTTTAATGTACATATATCTAGTTATTTCGGGGATTAGATATATTTTAGACTTATTTAATAATTGAAGGGATATTTTTTTGTTGCTCCTCTACCTGACTTGAAAAGCGGAGTTTAGATTATAAATTGGTAATTTGATTGGGAAGGAGAAATTATGAATTTCTTTTGGTGTAAAACATTTTAGATTTAAGATTTTGTTGCTGGAATTCTAGTTATGCATTTGAAATGGTATTGTAGGAGTTAAAGAGGTCACTATTTCTAGATAAAACTGTTTTCAGGGTTTTTTTTAATGTTACAATACTTTTATCCATATTCCAATAGTTGAAATTATATAAATTCTATTGTAAACATAATGTGAAGATCTGAGAAATGAAATAAATCAATAAGTTTTCGGTGAATATGTGTGTGTTGCATTAAAGTTACTGGGTAATTTTGAGAATATATAGATATATGAATTATTTTAAAATATTTTTTTTTTGCTATTAAGATTGTTGAGCTTTTAGGAGTTTTTATGAAAAGTTTGGAAATTTCTCATTATGTGTCCTACTTAGAAAAATAAGAAAACCGTTGACATTTATAGAATGCTCGGAGCACGGAAAAGAGGTTTTGAGTGTTAATTCTTCCTTGATTGAATGTCATTGTGATGCTTGGATTTGAGCTTGCACCTTAGATCAACTATGTTTGTCTGCATGTGCCTATGAGCTAATCCATATACAATTTTTGATGTGGATTTAATTATGATTTGGTGAAGAAAAATGCTTAAGTGCTCTAAAGTGAAAGAACTTTACAAATAGGAGACATCAATACTTGTTTAAATATTTAACTTTTAGTTTCTTTCTGTTTTTGCTTGTTTCAGGTAACCCACAGGCAGAAAAGTCAAATGCCTCAGATGCTGTGATTCCTCAAATACCATTAGATATCAATGGGCGGGATTCAGGGAAAGGTAAATAATTGTATACTTATTGTCTGGGTTTTAAGATGTCTTGATAAAGAAAGTTCAAAATAGCATCTAATTTCATGATCTTCTTAATAGGTTAGTTGGGTTGTTAATCATCCATAATTTGGCTAATGCCCTATTTGGCTGAATTTGATGGGCCCTCAGTTATTAGTTCTTCTTTTCTTTGTGCACTCTGCATATGCTTCAAGATAAATGTTCCCACTGTTATAAATACCAGTAAATAGCCTCGCAATAGCGACGCTAATAGCGTTAGCGACCCCTTCCCGCTATGCTACACTGTCGCCCAATAACGGTGGCGGGCAAAATCCGCTTTTTTATCGCTATTTAAAAGCGGTTTGAGATTTATTTTTTTAAAGTTAAACCCGACCCGCAACAACTACATCTCACTGCCTCCCTCACTTTCCGGCGTACTCCCGCCACCTCCCATAGCCTCTAGCACCTTCCTCTGGCATCTCCCTCAGCACTTCCTCTCACCTCCTCTTGCTGTGAGCTCCTCCTAGTGCAGCCCTCTCACCGCTTAGCTCATCTTCTCGAATATGACAACTCTTTGACTTCTCCAGTTGTCTTCGGTATTATGTGACGGTTACATGTCTATTTCATGTTTAGGATTTCTTTAAATCATCAAATGCACTTTTAGATTTTCTAAACTTTTTTATAATTTTTTAATATTTATACATATTTATTTGAATGTTCTTTAGTTTGATAGAAGTTTTTATGCTTTGAGGCTTCTTCATTTGGAAGCATACTTTGTTTTTGAGGCGTAGAGGACTCTATGAGTTCATAATTAAGTCAGCCCAATAGTAAAGTAAAGCTGTTATTTATGCCAGTTTTTTTATGAAATTCCTAATGGGTTAATTACAGAAAACTCCTACGAAGTTTTGGTGAGTTGCAGTAATCCCCAATTAACTTTTTTTTATTAGACTAAACCCTCTGAACTTTTGGAGTTATTGCACACAACCCTCGTGAACTATTTTATTTCACTAAATGTTACCTAAAAATTTATCGTTTGATCCCCATATTAGCAACATCAAAACTAACCTGTCCATGGCAAGCACGAGACTTGAAAAGAAGATGAGAAATTCTTTCTTAGTCCCAAAAGTACCCTTTTATTTAAAGGGAAAAAATAAAAAAATAAGTAATTTTTTAGGACTAAGGAATTATTTTCATCTTTTTTTGGCACATGCTTGTCACATGAGATGTTAGAATCGATGGTGCTAATTTGAAGATTAAATGAGAAATTTCACGGGGTTTTTCTGTAATTAACTAAATTCCTAAAATATAACTTGATCCTACCTAGTCTTCTTTAATTTTGATTCTATGTGAGTTTCTTAGAGCATTCTTGTACAGTATTTCTGTGAAATCATTGCCTTCTGTCCCTCCACTGCAGAGACTTGTGATTTGTTTTCTGGTAAGTGGATCCAAGATCCTAGAGGACCTTCTTACACCAATACAAGCTGTCCATTCATTGAAGGTCAACAGAACTGTATGAAGAATGGGCGGCTTGATACAGAGTACCAATATTGGAGATGGAAACCACATGGCTGTGACATACAACCATTTGATGCCAAGAGATTTCTAAGAGCCATGCGGGACAAATCATGGGCATTTATTGGTGATTCGATTCTTCGTAACCATGGCCAGTCATTGGTGTGCCTTATCTCTCAGGTGGATATCCTGGATTTTTAATCTTGTTGGTTGCAATAAATCTATTTTGGTTCGGAGTAGCAGCAATTTGATAACTTCATAAATTTTCCATACCCTGTATACTTCATTAGTGTAACTGAACGTTTAATGTTTTATGAGAGCCTTGTCTTCACCATTAACTTGCTAGCACTTACATAGAACAAAGGTGCACCTTATTTTGCTGAAAGGTTCCTTTTAAGTTTTCACTTTAATCTAATACGATTTGGGCACTAAAAAGTTTTTAAAACAAAATAAAGCTATTGGTTGATAATATCCTCCTATTCAGAAGTATTTATATAATGGGACTATGGGAGTTGTATAATTTTTGGGGTGGTTTTAGATTTTTTTACCCTATAAAATTTCCAAATATTGAAATAGCATAAAAAATATTTAATTTGCCAAATTGTCCTTCAAACCATTAGTTAATTTTTGCTAGGCTTCTAACTCAGCAAGGGTAAATTGTCCATTAACCACTACTCTTTCTTCTTATAACCCATGAAAAGATCCAAAAAAAATTCCCCAGATACATGGTTTTAAGCTCCAAAAAATCATAAAGAATCCTGGATGAAAAAGACAAAGGAAGAAGAATTAGTTAGGATCGCTCTCTTCATTTTTGTACCCTGCCTTCATCATGGTTTAAATCACCCAAAACTTCAAACCTAACTTGCAGTGGACACGGGTAAATGGTGATACGAGCATAGAACACGACAAATTTGTAAAATGTAGGGTATGGGGACATGACTACATGTATATATTGATAATAAATAATAATTCACATGAGATCATTGTATTTTTTCAAGTTTTATTTGAATTGAAATTCATTTCACATTTTAAAGTTTTTTCACTATGTTGATTATTAAATTGACAGCTGCTTGTTTTTGAACTAGACACCCAAATGACCCTTTTAAGTCATAGATTTGAACTTGAGTATGGGCTGAAACAAATCTGACCCATGTGTAACTCGTTTCGAGAAATGGATATGAACTGGAGGATCTACGTCCAATCAGTGTGACCCATGTCTAACTCGTTTCGAGAAATGGATATGAACTGTAGGATCTATGTCCAATCAGTGTGACGAGTGTTTTAAATTAAAGCATATATCATATAATTGAGTACATGTCTGAATAAATGTATGCATATATGCAAGGAGTGTCAATGAATTTTGGGTGCGGGTATGCATGATAGAACTACCTGGGTAACATAGCTCCAAACTGTCTCCATTTGCTTTTAGAAAAGCTCACCTTCTACGAAAACTCTCATGGATGCAACATCTCTTAGCTCATTTCCATTTCAATAGAAGCAGTGAATCCTGTAAAATTGAAAATGTATTCTTTAAAAGTTCAACATGAAGCTCATCTATTAATCCATCTCTAAGGGGATTGAGTTCTTGGAGTTTTGAGGCAGGAAAGGAAGTAGCTTATGAGCACTGGCTGCCACTGCATCACTGGTGTTTAAGTTAGGAGGTTAGCTTTTTTCTGCCTAGTTGGAGTAAGAAAAGAGAATGTGTTGTGGATTGGATTGTGCAGAGACAGTGTATCTTTCTCAGTTTTGGGACAAAAGAGATCAACCACGACCTAGATTTGGACAGGTGCAATAGGGGGGGGGGGGGGTAATAGACACCACGAGGTGGTGGGGGGGGGGGGGGGGGGGAGTGGTTTGTATAGCAGTGTTTGGTTGCTTACTTGAAGAACCAGTAGTTTAGCAAATGTTTAATTTTAAGAAACTTAATCGTTTACTACAAGGGGCTGCATTAATGGGCTTGGATATGATTTGAGATGACAAATAACGAGATTTGTGGGATAATTTTTGAAGGGTTTTTCTCATATTAGATCCTAATTATATACTATTTATTATATTAGGTCCCTAAAGTCTTCATATTTGTAACTTTACACCCCAAATTCATTAAGTTGTTTACACGTCGATCTTGAAGTAAGTTGCATGGATACGGGTATGGGTACAAGTAGGGGACACGGCAAATTTGTAAAGGATAGGGTACAAGGACATGGCTATATATATGTCAGTTATGTATGTTTATATGTTTTAAAATTTTAATTTATGCAAAATCAATATTGTTTTTTCATTTACATGAGATGAATATATAAGACATAGATCTTAAGGGTAGAATATACATCTAGGAAGTACATGAAGAGTGTCGTAAAATTGAAATATGTATTATATAATGGAGTATATGCCTGAATAAACGTATGCATATATATTAAAGAAGCATCCAAGAAGTTTGGGTATGAGTACGGGTACGGCTTCCAAATAGAAGTACTCATGTAACATAGAATTTGAATAAGTATGAGCAGTTTGGGGCCTAATATAAAAATAACATTAAATTTAGGGCCTACTATGACAAAAACCCATTATTTAAATACCAAAATTTGGAGTATATGTGTGTAAGCTCATATTTTTTTAGATGATTTTGATTATGTGAGATAACATATTTTGTTTAGGAAGTATATCAAAGCGACTTTTAATGTGCCTCATTACTTGAGGTTTTGTATATTGGTTTATTTGGTTATTTATTTTTGATCATGGCACCCTCACCCCTTCCTCTTCATCTCTCTACCTTACGTATAGTGACCACCAAAGACAGAATATAGGTTAGAAGCATGATGATGATAAACTCTTTAATTTATACATTTCACACTGTATTAAGAAGGGGCTTATTGGTTGATTTCAAGCTAAAGTAATGGTGCTGTTAGTTGGGAAGTGGCATTTACTGATGCTTCCCTAATGCCTCCATTTTTCTCTGATTCTTTCCCTTAAGGAACACACCCTAAACCTTATTTTATCCCTTTTGTATAACCCAAGTGCCCTTGTCTAGCATCCCAGTGGAAGGTCATATCATCCTATTCTAATATTGGTTATCATGCCTCAACTGGATTTGCACCCAGGATGGAGACATTCATGCTTTCCTTGAAAAAGATGCGAAAGGACTACACATCCTTTTCTACAGTTGGGTCTTGTCCCTTCTCTAGAAGGTGTTCAGCCTAATTTTATGTGAAGTAGGGTTCTTCACACATCCTTCATTCCCCATGAATTGTCTTGTGATTTTCCTGTCCCTTGTGTTGGTAGAATGTTATCCTAAGAATGAAGAAGCCGAGCACTCAGCTTTTCGAGTAGCCTTTGAACCTTAAATTTCAATTGGTTTGGATGCCACAGTAATTAGCTTGTTTGTTTCCATTCTTGTTGCGATACTCGTTTATAATTTGTCTAAGACACCATTAGAGTATTTTTCTTTGTCCATCTATCGCATTGGCAACATCCAGTGGACTAGTCCAATTAGGAAGCATGAGCTAATTTCATGGGAAAAAATAGTTCTCAAACAGTTTGGTTTCTACAGTGATAAGTTTATTTATTTCCATGCTTGCAAGAAGAGTCATGAATGAGTAGTCTAAAGGCAATTCCACGTTCCTGCTGGAGCTTGTTCTTGGTTCCTCACATTAGTAACACCCAGAACAATTGAGTTAATTTCATGGGAGAAATGGACTTTAATGCAAAAAAAGCTCTCTAGCTATTGTTATGTCCAAAACGAGAGTATACTCAGTGGGGTTCTCTCTTAGTTCTGATTGGTTCTGGGGCAAGTTATTATGTAAATGCTTTGAAGCATCAATTGCTGCTATTTTCGGGAACTTTACAGTCAATGTGATTGATGCTTATTCATAATGTATCATCAGACACCTCTGCATGTCCTTTTATTTATTTATTTATCAGTAACTATTGAAATAAAAAATAGTGTTAGCATATACCACCAGTAGAGGAGATGAATCTGGTTCTAAAACGTCATCATTTCACTGTAGCATTTCGTTTCCAACAGTGTTTGTGCAGTAATCATACCTATACTAGTGGTACTAACACTTTCTCACTTTTGTTAACCTTTGTTATGAAATATGATGCTTTGCTATTGACACTATATGGAGCACAAACCCTAAAAATTAAGAATATGCAGTAATAGGGGAGGAGGATGATATGGGAAGATACTAGGGATGCAAACAGATATGGATGTATGAAGATATATCACACGGAAATGCATGCACCCAGACACATTATGCCTGGTAGAATATGAATACAAATATGGTTATCTTTTTTCCCCTTTTTCATAGGGAACTGCACATGTGTGAATCTGAGTAATATATCCGTATTTGTATCTTGGTTGCCAGATATATGTATTGATCAGATGGTTGAAAATATTGACATAGATTGGTGATCTGAGACTTATTTTGGTGATTTAGCCTTCAGCTTTTTAGATATGTGACATAGTTAATGAACTCTGATTTGAAATTCTTTTAGATATGTGACATAGTTAATGAACTCTGATTTGAGATTCTTTTTACTTTAAACAACTCTCGTATCACACACACTGTATTTTTCGATCTTAACCGTTTTTCTCATTTCTGCTTTATATCCTTATGTGTTTGATCTTATCCAATCTGTATCCATATTCGATTTTAGTAGACATGAACTATTAGTTTCCTTATGGAACATTGCCCATATTCATATATGCATCCATGATTTGTAATTGGACATGTGAGTATAGTAAGTGCTGTATCCAGTCCAATTTCATGCATAGAGAATGCTATTCAAAGATAGGCAATTGAGACTTCTCATCTCTGATACGAAGTTGGATGATTTGTTATTGACACAATAATGAGTGCGGGTGACATTTTTTCCTGACTCACTAGCCCAACCAGAGCCCAAACTTCAGTTAGCATGCTATGGTCGGGCAAAGTTGTGTATGGATCAGTTTAGGGTATGACTCTTTGACCTGTATTGACTAGAAATGGCCAAGTAATACAAATAGAATAATTTTTATTTTCAAACACAAGTAATAAGTGACATATCGGTTGGTGGATGGGAATATAGGTACATGACGTCATGATCAATGTTTCGAATCTACAAGAAGGCTTGACTTTTTTTTCTTCTGGTATTCACCAAGTAAAATGTGTTTAAAGAAGGACAAAATTTTGAAAACAACCGTTTTGCAAAATCAATGAGCAAAATCGACCTCCTCACACAAAAAAAGAGAGCAAAATTGATCTTTTTATCTGAACTCAGATGAAAAGGGTCGATTTTGCTGCGGGTAATTTTTCGAACTATACGGGACTACTAGTCCCGTGTAGTTAAGGCATGCTAATCCAGGATTAGCATGCCAAACCAAATGGACAGGACTAGTATTCCCGTCCATTTCGTGCCAAAGCCCAATCGAGCGCTCCACTCGCAACAACGCCTTCCTCGTCTCCCAAAAGTGGCGCCAAATCGAGCGTTCCACCTGCACCTGCACCTCCCTCTCCCTCCGCGGCAACCTCCGCGACCTCTTCCTCCTCCCCACCTCCTCCTATGTCACCCACCTCGACCTCTCCCCTTGGGGCCACCTCTTCCTCAACCAAATCCACGACGTTACAACCAAAGACGATGAGCTCCACAACCAGCACCAGCTCCTCATCACTCACCGCCTCCACCAGGCCTTCCCCAATCTGGAGTCTCTTGCAGTCTACGCTCGAAATCCTTCGACCCTTCGCATTCTTGCACACCATTGGCCGGGACTGCGGCACGTGTCGCTTGTGCGGTGGTACCAGCGGCCTCCTCTCGATCTACCCGGAGCGGATCTTGACCCGTTGTTCTCTGCTTGCTTGAATTTGACCTTGCTTGACGTCTTGAGGTTCTACTGCTGGACCGAGGACATACCCGCTGCTCTGCTGCGTCGCTTCTGAGTCTTGATTTGCTCAGCCCGGCGATAAGTGACGGGTTCAAGTCGTCGGAGATTGTGGCGATGCCCGCGACTTGTCTGAACTTGTGTTGTTTGAGGGGAGGAAAGAGGGGAGGGGGCTATGAGATCTAGATTAACATGCCTTAACTACACGTGATTAGTAGTCTCATGTAGTTTGAAAAAATTACTCGCAGCAAAATCGACCATTTTCATCTGAGTTGAGATGAAAAGGGTCGATTTTGCTGTTTTTTTGTGAAAAGGTCGATTTTGCTCATTAATTTTGAAAAAGGGTTGTTTTAAAAAATTTGTCCGTTTAAAGAATTCATGTAGAATTATTATTCAAGAGCATAATAGTCTTTCTGGCTCACGGGTGTACATGAGGCATTTAATCTCCATGGTTTAGTTTGAAACCCCACTAGATCAATTTTTCTTTGTCAAAAGAAATATCCATTTCGTAAGCGAATTACACAAGACCGAGTCGGCTCAACCAATTATAATTATGTATTGTAAAGATATACCCATTTATTAAACAGATTGACAATGTATCAGCCATAATTCGGATCATCAGATAGTGGCTTAGTCCGAACTGACCAGGCGCTGCTTAATTGCACCACTTAAGCAAACCTTAGAAGCAATTGAAAAATAAGTAGATCATCATAGCTATGGTCGATAGCATGAGAGAAACTATTATAAGACATTAGTAGATTGAACTTCCATTGGACGCGTAGAATTTCACAATTCTTCAAGCTTACGACAAGAAAGTAATCTCTGAAAGAGAGTGGAGGAGCTCAGTTTCTTTGTCCATAAACTCTTGACATCGTCCTTTATTTGCTTTATTAGAAAAATGTCTATAAAACTAGCTAGAATTATGCATTGTGATTCATAAGTTTATTATTGAAAACACAAGGCAATTAACTTCTGAATATCTACATTCGTTTCTTTCTTACATTCTAGTTGCTGTACCTTTCACTTCAGGAAGAGTTGCCCATTGAGGTCTACCATGACGAAGATTTTAAATCCAGAACTTGGCACTTCCCCTCGTACAACTTCAACCTCTCAGTAATCTGGTCTCCTTTCCTCGTCAAAGCTGATATATTTGAGGATGATGATGGCGTATCTAAATCTGAAATCCAGCTTCATCTCAATGTCCTCAACAGTAAATGGACAAAAGATTACCATACTTATGACTATGTCATGATTTCAGTTGGACAGTGGTTTCTCAAAACAGCAGTTTATTGGGAGAACAATAAAATTGTTGGTTGCCACTACTGCCCTCGGTTGAACCTAACAGAGCGTGGCTTTGATTATGCCTACCATAACGTCCTTCACTCAGTTTTTCGATTTATAACCAAATCCAGTCACAAGCCCCTCGTTTTCTACAGGACATGGACACCTGACCACTTTGAGTATGGGGAGTGGTCTACTGGCGGAATTTGCAATAGAACACAACCATACAAAGAGGGGGACTATAATGGTAAAGATGTGGATCATATAATGTATGAGATTGAATTAGAGGAATTCCACAAGGCAATAGGAAATGTAACTGAGAATGCGAAACATGTGAAGTTGTTGGATACTTATCATCTTTCCTTGTTGAGACCAGATGGGCACCCGGGACCTTATCGAAGCTTTCACCCATTTGAAAAGGATAAGAATGCCAAAGTCCAGAATGATTGCCTGCATTGGTGCTTGCCTGGGCCGATAGATTCTTGGAATGATTTGCTCATGAGAATGGTCGTCAAATATTGAGATTTGACATATGGGTTTTCAGCCTACACAAGATTCTTTCTGAGAGCCAGAAGATGCTGATAAGAGTTTTAGATTGGCGCTGCACGTGATGGTTCTCATCTGATTTGGCTTGTATTTTCGTGTAAATTGCTGGGTTAGATGTGAGATTTTGTACTGCATTTTTCATGTAGTCTCAGCTAATGGGATCTCTGTAGCCCTTATGTTACACTCCTGCTGTATCTTAAATGTAAAATTTTCACCATTCCTTCTTTATTTTTTCGATGAAAAGCAATTTTAGGTATGAATGATAAATAAAATCTTATTTACAGTGCACACGGGACGGGGTAAGGGGAAAGAAAGGGAATTATTTCTTATGACCAGCTTGCACCTAATTGATAATACCAATCTAAGTCTAAATTTTAATATTATTGATGGTTATCACCAGATTGATGGATAAACCATTATCAGATGGATGTTCTTTATATAACGTCTGACGTGGGGAATACTATCAACTGTGATGAATTGCCTTCAACTTTCGTAAAATAGTAAGTAATGCTTCTTACTTTACGATATCTGTTGCGTATGGCTCCAGTTTCGCTGTCATATATTTTTGTTTCTCTTGTATATTTTGTGGCTTTTAGATTGCTTTATTTAATCTATTAAATTAAGCAGTAGTTAACTTTGCTAGCTAACCACTTGGAACAAACGTAGATTATGGGTTGCAGTTTCTCGGTTTCTGTTTATTAAATGTATGAATTTCTGCTTGCAAAGTTTCCCACCCCTTCTTCAGAAGAGAAGAAACACCAATTATCGAACAACTCCTCCCTCTCCATCCGCTCCCTCCTCGCCTCCCCCAACCAATTATGTTCGATGAAATGTCTTTAAAGGGGACTAAGCCTAACCTCACATCCTCAATGTAGCTCTCGCTGGTGTTCTACCGCGATAAAAAGACTCGACCATGTCGATAAATCGCTGGGCTTGATGTCGTCCTGGACTCTCTGTTTACTATGTTAGAATGCAAGGGTTGTGTAAGCTTGGGAGGGTTTTGCTCTAAAGTGGCCCTGCTTGCACTCAATTTTTGGGAGTAGACATCAGCTAGGAAATAAATGAAGCAACTGATAGAATAAGGGAGGAACTAACGATCACAGCAACAGAGTTGACCTGGTCCATATCTCGCCCCGTCGGCTCCGAAGACCATGCTTACTTAGAGCAAATGAAGATGATCCGCTTGTCAATGAAAGGGGATTACTTAGGCTCCGTTTGGATACCATTGTGTATTACTTGTTTTCATGGTGTTTTTGTCAAAAACAAAACACCATGCGTTTGGAAACCATAGTGTTTTTTTGAGCTAAATCATCCTCAAACTGAAAACACAACACTTATTTTAAAACACCTAAAAAGTGTTTTAAGTTTGATGTTTTGGTTTTGAGTTTGAGAAGGTGTTAATATAATATCTAACATAATATATTAAATGTAATTAACATAGAGTTATTATCAACATGCCTATTATACTATGTACTATATTATACTATACTATACTATATTATAGTTAATCTAATATATTAGTAATATTTACTAAATAATATAAAAATATAATAAATAAAATATCTTATATAACAATATAATAACAAATTAAATACAAGTATTTAATATGTTAACAATGTATTATATAATAATAAATAATAATAAAATATAAATAAACTAATTAATAATAGTAAAAAAGTTATTGATAATAAATAATAATATAATAATTGTTATGGTAATTTACCATCTAAAGATGAAGATACCGAAAGATTGTCTGCATAGGCTAAAAAGGCCATGGTTCAAACCAACTTAAAGGCTCTAAAGCCTAGCTAAGGGCAAGTCTATTGGCCAGTCGAGCGGACGAGTCATTTTTGACCAAGGGTCATCATTACCGATTCGAAGTGTGGGAACATTCGATCCCTCGTAATCAAGACGACTCCTCCAGCAGACGTCTCGACTATACACTCGACCCGAATCTCACTCGGCTATCGAGTCGGGAAATCACAAAGACAACTCATGAACCGACTCGCCTCTACTAAGGGGATAAGATCCATCTAAGCTCACCTCAGATGTCAATCAACACAACAGCACTGATCAGTCCCATCAAGATCTCTGCTCTGACAAATCCCCTGCATAAGCCGTTTATTCTACTCACAAGTCATTTCTCTGAGATCGCCATGATGCTCTTCTGGGCTCGAATAACTTCCCCTCCAGTCATCAGCCGCCATCTGGAGGGGGAAGGACAACCGAACAGTGGGCCTATCCTCTGGCCTGCCTCATCTGTCGAATCCAGGATATTAAGAGGACACCTCTCTCCTGTATTTGAATGACTTCCCTCCCAATCGCCAGCCGACACCTAGAAGGAGAAAGATGACTCAGCCTCCAGCTCACCCCTCAACCGCCTCCTGTGCATAGTCAAAGCCGAAGGGTCAAATTCTCAAAGGCGATAGGCTATAAAAGGAGGGAAATAAGGTAAAAAGGGGAGGATTTTTTCTGCTACTTCTTCATAAAAGCTCTGAATTTACCTTTGCTAGAAAAGGATCATTAACTCCATAAGAGTATCCTCTGAGGACCTAAATAGCCTAGGGACTCTCCCTCAAACCCCACTCAAGTTAACCAGCTGACTTGACCATCGGAGGTACCATGGGGGAAATGAGCCTCGCTCTCCCACGGGTTTCTTCTTGTCTGTGCAGAAAGACCGGGAATTCCAGTCTAAGGATCGGGCATAAAGTCGGAGGAGAAGTCGGTCCCATCTCTCATCCTCCCCCTATTCGCCGCCGGCGCGAAGACCAGAACCGTAACCCCATCGACTGTGTGTTCACGGACATCAATAATAATGATATAATAATATACTACACAATAGTATAACCGCTATAATATTATTAACTTTTTAATAAATAAACTGTAATAAATTAATAATTGTAAAATATTATATAATAGTAACATATTTAAAAATAATTAAAAATATAATAATAATATTATAATAATATATTGTATAGTAAATTTAATATAACATATAAAATATTAATATATTATTTAATAAATAAAAGAATTTATTGCTCATAAATGTTAATGTAAAAATAATATATTCATAATATAATAATATTTACTTATATTTTAAATTATTAATATATAAAATAACATTATTATAAAAATATTAATATAATATATAACAATAACAAATTGATATACAAAAATAATTAAATATATAATTATTTGAAAATAATATGTAATAATTATAATATAATATAACTCATTAAGTATAATATAATATTATAATACATTATACAATTTTATATTGCATTATATTTAATACTTCTAATACTATAATAATGTAAACTAAATATTATAATATTTTATTTATAATATATTTTATTATAATTAATAATTAATATATTAATATTATGTTTAATACTAATGTTGTAATGGGTCAAACTAGTGTTGACCAAAAATACTTAACATGGTATTTTGAAAACGTTTTAAGGAAAAACACTACATCATGGTGTTTTTTTAACAAAAAAAAAAAAACACCATGGTAACCTAAAAACATGGTTTTTGTAGGGGCGGGTAGTTAACTTCCGGAATAAGTGGTGAAAACTACTTAAGTTGTCTTTTACTTTATTAACCTGTTTATTTTTTTTTTGGTAAAGGAAAATTTTTTATTCATTTGACCGTATGGAGATTTTATGTACATCAAAAACTCAGAATCTGAGTAATCTATAGCTCCCTACAAAACTATATTCAGCTAAAGGGAAAGTAACCATCTCTCATCTTCTGTTGGTATATTGCTATTAAGAACAATAGTCATCATGTCCACCTTGATTGCTTTAGTAAGTTGCTCAGTCCTCTTACATTTTTGTTTGAAGATTCTTCCATTGTATTCCAGCCAGATATTATATATAGAGGTAGATAATGCCATCCTCTTTACTCTATGCTTAAAATCCTTCCCTTTCCAGCCAGATATTATATATAGAGGTAGATAATGCCATCCTCTTTACTCTATGCTTAAAATCCTTCCCTCGTAAGCTAGAGTTGTACCAATTTGGTAGATAATGCCATCCTCTTTACTCTATGCTTAAAATCCTTCCCTCGTAAGCTAGAGTTGTACCAATTTGGAAGGAGATTCCAATCATAAGTCTTCCATTTAAATTGTAACCAGTCCATAATGTTGTTCCAGACTTCTTTTGTGTAGATGCAGTCAAAATACAGGTGGTTCCTGCTTTCTGCTTCAGCACCAGAGCATAATATGCATTGATTAGCTTGAATAGCTCCTCTTCTAAGCAGCTTATCCTGAGTTAAGAGCCTGTCATGGACTACCAACCAGGAAATGAATGAGTGCTTAGGATGATTAAATCCCCCCCAGATTGTTTTGCAACATGGCACTTTATCAGCAGCAGAGGATAATTTGGATATTACTTGATACAGGTTTGATATCTTGGTTTTGTTATTGTTACAGCAACATGACCTGATTAGCTCCAGCAGGTTTTCTACTCCTCCACATTACTGTAATGCTTTGTTTCTGGCTTTTAGGAGTTGCTTCCACATCCAAGAATCACTATTTTTAATTTCCACTTGCCAAATATCCATGTGCTTTAGATATGTTCCTTGAATCCATTTTATCCACAAACATTCTTTATTTGAGTGTATATCCCATAGTATCTTCATTGCTGAAGCATAATTCCAAATTATTGAAGAAAAGATTCCTAGGCCTCCATATATCGTACCTGTGCATGTTTTACTCCATGAAACCAATGAAATCTTGCGGATTTTGTCTTTTTTACCCCATAGAAAATCTCTGCATAATTCATCCACTTTTTGCAACACTTTGATTGGTAGTATATAGCATGAGGTCCAATAAATTTGAATGCCAAGGATAATGCTCTTGATAATCTGAATTCTTCCTGCATATGACAGATTTCTGATACTCAGGCATTTCTGAAATTGATTGGAGATCTTAGTGAAGAGGGGATTACAATCCTGTAATGAAAGCCTCTTGCTTACTAATGGAACTCCAAGGTATCTGATAGGGAAATATCCTTCAGAGAAATTCAAGTGATTTTTGATAGCTTCCTTAACAGGTTCAGGAACCCCCCCATAGAATACAACACTTTTGCTTGGGTTTGCATCAAGACCAGAAACCCCACTGAAATGTGTGATGCATTGATAAAGCTTCTGAATTGATTTTAGATTGCCTTTGCAAAACAGTAAGAGATCATCTGCAAAGATCAAATGTGTGATTTTAAGTTTTCCACACTTTGGATGGAAACTGAATTCTCTGTCCTGTTTCAGTAAATCCAGATTCCTTGAGAGGTATTCCATGCCCAAGATGAAAAGATAGGGGGGAGAGAGGATCTCCTTGTCTAAGGCCTCTTTCTCCTTTGAAATAGCCATGGAGTGAGCCATTGAGAGAGATAGAATACTTAGGGGAAGATATACAAGTCATGATCCTTTCTATCATAATTCTGGGAAAACCCAAACCATTTAGCATAGCTTCAATGAGCTTCCAGCTAATGGTATCAAAGGCTTTTCTTATGTCTATATTTATCATAACCCTTGGAGAGATGTATTTTCGACCATAGTTTTTCACCAATTCATAAGCTAAGAGGATGTTGTTAGCTATATTTCTACCTTTGACAAAAGCACTTTGAGCATCACTTATAAGATATCCCATCACTGATTGAATTCTATTAGCAAGAATTTTTGATATCACTTTATATAGACAGTTGTAGCATGAGATTGGCCGGAGATCTGCAGGAGCGTTTGGGCAGTGCACCTTAGGTATGAGGGTGATAGATGTAGAGTTGATAGCCCCCAATAGCTTCCCATTTCTGAAAAAAATCTTGAATTGCTTGAGTAACTTCACCTCCAATCACATTCCAAGAAGATTTGAAGAAAGAAGCTTCATATCCATCAGGACCTGGAGACATATTGTCTGGTATGGAGAACATTGCACTTTTAATTTCTTCATTTGATATAGGTAAAGATAGATACCTGATATGATTTTCTTCTAGACAGGGACCATTTTGGATGATATCAATGCTTGGATCTAATGTTGGAATAGCTGTGCCCATGAGGTTTTTGTAATAAGAGATTATTTCTTTAGCAATTTCCTCTCCTTCAGTGATTCTTTCTCCCAAACTATTTTTCAGGACCAGGACCCTGTTATGATGTCTGTTAGCCTTGATAATTGAGTGAAAATAGCTGGTGTTTCTATCCCCCTTGACACTCCATTGGATTCTAGCTTTTTGCTGGAAAAAAGAGATCTCACAATTCAAGAGCTTATTGTATACTGATAGGCACTCTTTTTCTTGGCTAATGAGAGTATGATTAAAAGGATCATCATGAAGCTTCTCCTGAATTTCCTCTAGTGCATTTTTTGCTCTATGTACCTGCTCACTTATATTTCCAAAGTGCTTATTATTAAGATCTTTCAAAACCTCCCTCAGACTTTTGAGCTTGAAGTAGATTGAAAACATTTTGTATCCTTTCACTTGTTTTTGCCAAACAGAAGACATAGCAGGCAGGAAGTTGCTATGATTAGTCCACATTTTGAAGAACCTGAAAGGTTTCTTGCCTTGTCTCCCCTCATCATAGATTGATACCAGAGCTGGGCAATGATCAGATAAGCTTGGAGGCATATACTCAACATGACTAGTGTTGTATTTCTGTAACCATGCATCATTTACAAGGGTCCTGTCTAATCTGCACCAGACCCTAGTATTATGATCTTGTTTATTTGTCCAGGTAAAAAAAAATTCCCCACAGTTTTGAGATGTAAGAGTTGACAATCCTCAATAAAAGTATTGAAGTCTTTTGTATCTGCATCAGTGAGCTTGACTCCCCTAATTTTCTCCTCATCATTAATCATGGTGTTAAAATCACCACAGAGCATCCAAGGTTTATTCCCCACAGATTGCTTTATGTGAAGGAGCTCAGTCCATAATCCCCTTCTATTT